AAATTTATAGATACCCTGCAAAATTACTAATTTTAGCATTTACGTTTATTATTCTTATAAAGATTAATGTAATTTTGTCGATTTGCTTGATAAAACGTTTTTTGTATATTTTAAGCATAAAAAAAAAATCTTAGGTAAGTATTTCAAGTTAAGATTTTTATGAATTAGACAACAAAAAATTATTTTATCTAAACACTTGTTTAGTTCATCAAAACGTTTAAACTTTTAAATCTACGTACTGACCTATAACCAGAAATAACATATGGTTACGGTATCCTAGTGGTAATTGTTTTGAGATCATGACCAGTGTGTCATGAGTTAGAACCCTAAGGACAAGAATTTTAAACTTACAGAGACAACCACTGGACCTTAAATCTGTCGAGCTCAAAGTCCTCCCGTTAGCCAGCTCAGGTGTCGTTCGCGTCACGTGACCCAGGATCAAACTTATGAGGTATGTCACCAATAGCCTTCGTATTGCTTTATAGGATAGCGTTCATATAACACTAAAGACAGTGGAGTAACGAAGAATACTTGGGGCCCCTGCAAAGTCAGGTATTGGGCCCCATGCCTGAAAACGTACTTGGCGTCAGTCAGGCTTGGGGCCCCTTAGAACACCTGGGTACCCTGCAATGCGGGGGTATACATTAAGTCACTGATTCACGAGGTCTAGACCTAAGTGTCAAGATATCGAGCCATAGTATATCTTGTATAGTAGTATATATATCTTGTACCATAGTATATATATCTTGTTCAAATTTTCAATCGTTAATAAAATGCCTTCTATTCATCCATTTAAGTTCAAATATTTTTTCTAAAACTTCTAGTGGATGACATTTTATGTTGTGATATAGTTTTACAAATATTAATTCATTAATTAAATTTAAAAAATAAATAAATAGTAGCAAACAAAAATAATAGTCCAACAGCATATTAAGAAAGGAAAGTATTTCGCTGTGTCCCTGTATTGCAATGGATAGAGCGTCGGACTTCTAATCCACTGGTCGTGGGTTCGAGTCCTACCTGGAGCTGCATAAATTCTAAGAAGTTGATTTCTTTTTTTACTATACTATTTTATTAAAATAATTAAATTTAATTAATGAACAAACAGTGACAAAACTAGTTCAACACCCTATATAGATAGGAAAATGGAAAACTGCAAGGGAAATCACTTTCTATTCTGCCATTTAATAGTGTGATTATGTCATATGTATACACATATTTATGTTAATTGTAACTATTTAATAAAAAGTAAATAAAATGAATTTTTTTTGTTGACCTTAGTAGAAATTGACTTAAATTTTTCTTTGTAAATTACTTGTTTCAAAATTACTTTTGAATAGTAATTAATAAAAAATTAATGTTTTCGCCTTTTTTAAGCATGAAATATCTTCAGTTAAAGTTTATTCTGCTTTTAAAATGCAATTGATGAAGATTTTCAAAGAAATTAATCTCTGTATAATAATAAAAAACTGAAAAATTTAAAATTTTTAAATTAATGGAATATCCGCAAATATAATTGAAATTAAAATAAATAAACAATTTTTTAATATAAAAAAACATTTTAAGTTCCCCAATAACATATGCCTCGACGACAATAACACCGCGATACCGATTAAAAATTTAAATTCAAACCCCCAAGTAATTAAAATCAAAGGAGTAATATAAAAACCGAAATGCGGTTGACTGTATTCTTTTTAAAATTTGGGAAAAGGCTTAACTAGAAAAACTAGAAAGTCCTCATAAAGTTGTTTACTGAGCGGGGAACAGTTATATTCCCTATTTAATTCAAAATTTAAACCCCCAAAGGGTGATTTAAAATATGCATGAACATTGCTGTGAAAATTTTAAAAATTGAAACGTTTTGGCTTGAGGACTTCAAATAAAATGTTTAGCTGTTTGTTCTAATATATCTCAATAAAAATCAGTATAAATATGCTGTCAAATTATTGACAAATTTAATTCAACACATTGAGGTTTACTAAAAACAAACATTAACGTAAATATATTTGACACAGCTACTCTATAAAAAGTTCATTTTTTGTAAAGAAATTTGAATTCAAAACTTGCAGAATATATGAACGTCTTATGTAAATGATGACAAATAGACAAAATGAAATTCAAATCAATTGTACAAAATAATTTAAGTGGATTTAAAAATAAAACCAATAATATTTTTAAATTTTTGATTTAATTTAAATTTTTATTTTTTCATATATTAGCAAAAAAAGATGCTTAATTTATATCTAACTTGGTTTTTTTTTAAATATAAAAACCCCATGGACTATTCTACAGATCAAACAAAGGATTTTTTGAAAAAGGGTTTTACCATTCTTAAAAAATTAAATTTAATTATATATCCCTTTAAGACCCGAATTATTTTTATCTTCAAATATTAAATTCTTCTGGTTTTAAGTAAGGGGTCCCAAAACACCGGAAAAAACAAATCCCCCTTCTCTGGGAAAGTAAACACCAAGATTGTGTGGGTTTGGGGTTTTTTGGGAAAAAGGTCACCTATGAAATTTCACGAGTTATACATTTTTTTCCGTTTAAGAAACTCTTAATTCAACTACAATTTTTCAAATAAGGAAATTATTGATGTATAATTAACTGTTTTTTTAATTCATTATTTTTATTTATTATGTTTTTTAGTTTTGTTTTTTTGAAAATAAAAACCCTGCATTTTTTCAACAAATTTTCGAACTGCTTTCATGGTTTTTTAAAACTGCGCTTTGGGGGCCTTGAAATGTCAAACCACCAAAAAAGTTTAAAATGTCCAACCCTTTTTCCTTTTTTAAAGGCCAGTTAAACCCTGGCATGTGCAAAACAGGTGGGTTATAACCCCTTCGATCTTTTTATGGAAAATTGCCAAAAAACTTTTAAATTCATCATCTGTTAAAATACTTTTTTTTAGTAGGGGGAGGTTGCCAAAAAATTTTACTATTTTCTAATTTAAATTTTAAGCATCCCCCTTTTTATGTTTTGGGGTTTTATTTGGGTATTTTACCAGCTTCCACCGGAAAACCTAATTTTCAGTAAAAAAAAAATGAATGGGGTTTGGGGACTTTTTGGTAAAAGAATGGAACCAAAAATTTTTTCCCAAACAAATATTTCCATGTTTTTTTTTCATTGCCCCATCTGAACTTTGATTTCCTTTCCCGTATACGGGGATTCATATGTTTTGTTCACTGCATTTCATCAAAACGAGAGACCTGTTCTGATCGATTCCCCTTTATTTTTTCACCCCAAAAGAAAAATTTTTTCCTTTGTGTGAGAAAATTTTTTCCTTTTAGACACCCTGGGAAAAAGTTTTTGGGTTTAAAAAGCAACAGTATTCCATGAAAATAATGAAATTTTTGAGAATATTTTTTTTTTAAAAAAAAAAATTGAAAAAATTATAACAAATCCCCAAATTAAAAACCCCGAATTTTTTTTGGGAGTTTAAAAAGATATGGGAAAGCAAATTTTCCCAAAGTAAATTTTTGGTTTACCCCCCACCCAAAAGAGTGGAAAAAAGGGAAAATTTAATTTTTAAAAAGAAGCCTAAAAAAAAGAAAAAGGGAAAATTAAAAAATCTTCCAACCCCAAAAAAGAAAAAAAAAATTTAGGCCCAAAATTTCCGTTTTAAGGCCCCCGCAACCATTATTGGAAACAAACCTTTTTAAAAAATATAATTAAATAAAATTTTTTTTATTTTTCAAAATTTTTTAAAATTTTTAACCAAAAAAATTTTTAAAAAGCCCAAATTTGAAATATATTCATAAATTTTTTTTCCAAAATGGAAAAAGGGAAAACGTGTTTCGTTGAATTTGAAAACTTAGTTTGATTTCCGGGAAAGTAAGATATGGACACAAACCCAATGGTTGATAAAAGTGATATTTTAACTTTTCCCAAACCCCGCTCAATCGCGGGGCAGGTTTTTCCCACGTGACTTTTCCCGGAAAAAAAACGAAAGAACGTCTAACCCGCACGACGTGGGGGGGTTTTTAAAGGGACAAAAACTTTAATTTTTTTATTTTTTTTCTAAAAAACAAAACTTATTAAAAAAAAAAAATTTTGACCTTTTCCAGGCTCCAGTCAAATCAAAAGACGTCCAAACCAAAACCAGAAAAGTGGGAAAACAGCTCCTATGAATAAAAAAACAAATTATTTGAATTCTACCCTTTTTTATTAAAGCAATATATTTTTTCATTTAAATATTGTTCTTTTTTTTTTGGGGGAACCAATTTTTAAATTTAAATTTTAAAAAAGTAAAAGATGCTGTTTAGTTTTTTAAAAATTTTCTTTTTTGGGAATATCACCTGCTTTAATTCAATAATTCATGTTACTGAAATTTATCTGATTCATTAATTTATGTGTCGATATATAATCGTCCGGTGTTAATGTTATTTTGGTTAAGTTGGTATCTTTTTCACTTATTCTAAATGTTTTTAGTCGGGAAAAATTTTAAAATTAATGCCGGTTTAACTAAATGTTTAAATTTCGTATATTTTCGAGATATTGTTTCATCTGGAGATATTTTTGATTATTTTAGTACATAAAAAAAAAAGTCTGGGGTTATAAATCATTTATTTTTGCAATGGCACTTTGGAAATTGTTCGAATATATAATACGTAAGTACTTAATTTTGTTTAAATGAACAGTAAAAAATACATAAGAAAAAGAAAAAAAAATGTTAAAAAGAAAAAAATAATATTGAAAAAATATGAAAAAAATAAATACTTAAACACAAAAGGGGATTTGTTTCAATAACGAATGAAACAAAAAAAATTGAACAAATACTGAAATAATAAAACTAAAATTTATAAAACTCTTAGAGAGAGATTATACATATTAAAATAAAATGTATATATATATATATCTATATCAGTAACCTCTTTTTTTTTTTTTTAATTTTTTGAAACTTTTAAAAAAACTAATTCATTAATTAAATTTAAAAACGAATAAATAGTTTTCAAACAAAAGCAATAGTCCAACAGCATATATAGAAAGAAACGTTCGTTGCGTCCTGTAGTGCAATGGATAGCGCGTTGGACTTCTAACCCAATGGTCGTGGGTTCGAGTTCCACCAGGAGTGGCATAATTTCTAAGAAGTTGGTTTCTTTTTTTACTATACTATTTTTATTAAAATAATTAAGTTTAATTAATGAACAAACAGTAAAAAAAGTAGTACAACACCATATATTGAAAAGAAAATGGAAAATTGCAAGGGAAATCTTTTTATTCTGCCATTTAATAGTATGATTCTGTCATATGTATATACATATTTATGTTAATTGTAACTATTTAATAAAAAGTAAAAAAAAAAAAAAATTTTCTTTGTTGACCTTAGTAGAAATTGACTTAAATTTTTCTTTGTAAATTACGTGCTTCAAAATTACTTTTGAATAATAATTAATAAGAAATTAATGCTTTCGCCTTTTTTACACATGAAATATCTCTTTAGTTAAAGTTTATTCTGTTTTTAAAATGCAATTGATGAAGATTTCCAAAGAAATTAATCTCTGTATAATAATAACAAACATCTGTAAAATTAACATTTTAATTAACGAAATAATTCGCAAATATAATTGCAAATGGAATAATAAATAAACAATTTATTTAATATAAATTAAAACATTTGTAAGTCCTCATTCTAATAACATATGCTTCGATCAGACTAATAACACCGCGCATACCGATTACAAATTACAATTCTAAATTCTCGCAATGTAATTACAAATCAAAGGAGTAATATCAAATTCCGAAATCGGTTGATCTGTATTCTCTTCTACATTGCGACACAGACTTAACTAGTTAAAACTAGATAAGTCCTCATGAGAGAATTGTTTACTGAGCGGGGACATAGTTATAATCCCCATTTGGATATAAAACGATATTTCTAAGAATATGCCAGTGAAATTGAGGTTGCTTCATGCTTTTAACATTTAACATGATTGTAGAGTGAAAGCTTGGCATTGGCAGGACTTCAAATAAAATGTTTAGCTGTTTGTTCTAATATATCTCAAAAAAATTAATATAAATATGCTGTCAAATTATTGACACATTTAATTCAACACATTGAGATTCTACTAAAAGCAAACATTAACGTAAATATATTTGACAGCTACTCTAGTTCTAAAAAGTTCATTTTTTGTAAAGAAATTTGAATTCAGAACTTGCAGTATATATGAATGACTTATGTAAATGATGACAAATAGACAAAATGAAATTCAAATTAATTGTACAAAATAATTTAAGTGGATTTAAATATAATGCAACTTAATAAAATTTAAATTATTAAGATTTAATTTAGATTCTTAATTTTTTCATGTTATACAAATATAAAATACTTAATTATATATACACCTTCTGGTTTTAGTTGTTAGATATAATTGCATATAGATACAACCGTTGTGTTATTTAATGAATCTACATCAGTAAGCGTCATCACGTATATCTACATCAGTAAGTCCTCTTTTTTTTCTATTTTTTATTTTAAGCGAATACTTATGCAAGAAAAAACTCTATTACAATCGAATAATGTATTAATAGCAGTTTAAGTTCTTACATTAACCATTAAAATTCATTAATTTTTATACAATCTTGTGTTTTTCACCCAGCAATACATTTAAACTATCACGATTCAGCCTTTTTAAAAAAATTGATGAATAATAAAAAAATATAAAAAGGGTGCTGGAACGAAATATTTTCCTCAAGGCAGAAAGAAATCTGAATGTTGCGTGGATTTTTCATCCACCACAATAAGAAATTTGCTAAATACTAGAGGACGTTTAAATTAATGGTTTTGTCATAAAATCATAAAAGGATTCTTGTGTTTGAGAAAAACTTTAGTACCCTAGATCAGCTAATGTGGTGATTATAATTTTTATTAGATCGTTACCAGTCTTAAGAGGTAATAATTCCCATATCTTTTCGGTTTCTTTCTAAAACTACTAGATTTGTTTTTCTACATTTCTTTTTTTTTCCCATTGATTCTATTTTGGAAAAAAAAAAATCAACAACAAAACGTTCCATAAGTGGATCATATAACTATAAAAATCTTTTATGGATAATGAGCTTAAAATTTGCATACATTTGCATATCTGAGATACAATTCCCATAAAAGGCTTTCAAGATCATTTTTGTCAAGGGATTTAAAACGGATATTCTAAGATATTTTTAGTTTAAATACACTTTAGCACTTCTCTACTTTGCTTTATAACTATTTTCTTCGTATTTTTTTTCTGTAGGAAAAAGGGTGTTGCACCTGTACACTTCGTTCCGCTTCTTTGGTTTTCGATGGTCGTAATTTAGCTGACCTTTATATAAAAATAGCTCTAAGTTTTATTTTATTTATTTTTTTTTGTTAATATCTTTCATGTTATATCATTGAATAACGTAATTGGATACTTTCTCTCTGCAAATATTGTTACATTACATTTTATAACATTTGAATTCGATTTTCACATACTGGATAACGATATAAAATGTGAGTTTTTACGACATTTATATGGGTATTTAGGTTACAGCACGAAATAATAGTTGTCGGGTGTTGATCTGACCACCGTTTATTTTTTTTGTTTTGTTTTGTTGTATTTTAGAAATTAAGTTGCAAATAGCAACAGTAGAGTTTTTTTTATGTTTTATTTTTTTTATTGCGATTGGAGTTTTTGTAGTGCAGCCCAAGAACATTCCCCGGAAGCTCGTATCTCTTTTTGGTGCGGCACTATATAGGCGGATACCAATCACCGCAGATAATTTTGACACCCAGTTTTAATTTATGTAAGAAAATAAAAATGGCTTTGTGTTTCTGTTCGTGTGTTTTTTAGAGAATAAATAATTATGAATACTAAAATGTCTGTCGGTGCAAATTTTACACCGAAGCCTGTTTAATTTGTTCTCCTTTCCCCATTTTTGCAGGGAATTTAAAAAATTTTCATGGCTTTTAATCATTTTTCCTGGTGATAGTACAGAAAAAGTTTTGTCGTTCTAGGTTAATTAAAAGTGATTTTACAACTAAATATACCTAGAACGTCCTCTGATGTCATTTCGACACTAAGGAAATGTATCATTGCAAAAAACTGTCATTCAACAAATTTTCACTAAGTACATACCATTAGTAAAACAAATTTTCCAAAGTTCTATCGCACATTTATTTGACCTTGAATGCAGTGTTTTTGAGTTCACAGTGGAAATGAATCAATTATATTAAAATTGTTGCGTCTAATCGTTTCGTTACATAGTATTTGCTTAGCAGTCCATAAAAAAATATCATTCGACTTTCAGTGCTGAGCAAACATCCTGAAACGATGGCTCTTAGAAAAGGTCTAAGCCGAGATGAAATTGTTAATTTGTTAGAAGAGTTTTTTTTTTTTCCTTCTGAGAAAGAGAGAGATAATCTGCTCTAATTTAGATTCCGATGAAGACATAAATTTGAATGAAAGTGACTGTAAAGAATCTGAAGAAAGTGCAGACGTAATTGATAATATTCCAGTAAATACTGATACATATGTCGCAAAAGGATAAGGGAACAAAATGGTACCGAATAATAGTATGTCTAGCTTGAATTTACTACTCGAAATGTTTTTGGGACAAAGTAGTGGTCCAACAAGTTTCGCGAAACATAAAGTCAACGTCAGTTTGTTATGATATTAAGGGTCTTAGTACATGATAATTATATGAAATAATGTTAAATTGTCTTAAAACTAAACCCTGCTGAATATTCGTCACCACAATTTTTTTTAGTTTAAAATAATTATTTTACTTAGTTTATATCGTGGTGTCAAAATGTCACCGTTTAAGTTTAATCGAAGCCCCAGATGTTCTACTGCTAAATAGATAATTAATAATTTTTAGTGTTTTTATGCCATTTATGCTTTTGAGTGTCATTTTTAAAATGTATTAAATCAATAGATTTAATTGACTATAATCTCAATTCTTCTGATTTTGATTCCGTAACGGAAAAATTTATTCGCATTTAAAAATGGAATTTTTGGGGTTTTATATAATGTTTCTTACATGTCTTACAAATCCATTTATATTTTTAACTAAAATTCACTATATTGGAATACAGGAAATTTATGACTGTATTTACCAGGATAGATTATGATTTTTTAATACTTACGAACTTTCGCAACCGTATTGGCGACATTATAAGAAATGAAGATCATAGTTGCCAATTCAGCGCATACGACACATTCGAAATTAGGGTTACCAATTTGGCGAGTTATGCTTTGAGGTGCGTTGGCATTGATGTAATGGTATGTAATTATCGTTGCCTTTAAAATGTATTAGTATATACTAACGCTGATTTTAAAGGACTAATCTATATCGCGTTTAGAGCTGACTTCATTAAATGTACAGATTTACAAAGGTACAAAGTGAAAAGAAAAAAGAAAGCTGTATGTGAAATCAAACATTATCGAACTTGTACCATTATTAGTTTGGGTACTTATTCGTTACGCCGGGGCAAAGCTCGCCAAGCAGGCTTGATTGACCACAACATATACAGTCGAACCTCCATATTACGAACCTCTATATTGCGAATTTTTATAAAGCGAACTTTTCCTGGAACCAAGGACATTTCACGATTTTCTTCGTGAAATAACCTCCCAATAATAAAGTACATTTTCTATATAACGAACTTTTCCTCTTGTGATTGAAAATTGTTCTCCCTGTTTTTAAATTATTCCTTGACATTTCAAGTTATTCTCTCTTTTAATACGCTTTATAGTGGTCATAAATATTCAGCTGGTTTTATTAGGTGCCTAACTCGCCGAGAACGATATAATTCTGTGTGTTTCATCCAAAAAATACAATTTTTAACCCCCATTGTCCAGTTCACTAGAAACATCTTCCATTTTACCTTACACCCTCAGAGGAGTTGTCTCGTACCCATGTGTCCTTGGAGCTGGGGTTTATTGTTGGCAAATTCATTTGGAAACAAATCGACGCGGATTACAGTGTGAAAAGAAGAAGAAACTCCGTGCAGAGAATTTGGTGCTTTGCGAAACACTTGAGGTATTTATGAAACAAAGCATTTTTTTTTTCAAACAAACTAAAAAAAAACAGATTTTATAAGTAATTAAAAGTATG